AGTGATATGGTTTAGACAAAAAACAAGCAAACAGGTTTGCAATAAATTGTTATTGAGCAGAAAAAGCCAAAAATAGGTTTTTTTGTGGTAAGTTTTGCGCTTTTTTCCGCAAAGCAGTTTGCACCATGTAAATTCTGTTAATATTTTAAGCAAAATTTGTCTAATCATCTTTCGTCTAAAATCAACACAATTTGACAAAAACTCATTTCAATTTTCAAGTTTTTGGCGTTTTGTCCGGATAGTTGAAATCAGCACTGTTTACAAAACAACTAATTTTTTTATCGATGATTTTGATTAATGAGAATTAAATCCCATCTAATTTAGGTTGATGCGCAAATAAAACGTTTAATCTCCTGGAACTGTTGATATTAGAATTCCTGCTAGATGTACTGACATAACAATTATGAAAGTAATATCAAATAAACCAACTAGAAAAAAAAGATGTTCAAATGTTATAGATTTTTTTGGTCAAATGGAACTAAAAGAAACCAAGTGCAACAAAACCCAGCGAGATTCAACTGTAATTGAACGCTTCAACTCCAAGTATAGCTCAGTTTTACAAGTGTTTTTTTTGTTTTAAAACTATTTTTCTGTTTGGAAATCGTTTATACCAACAGAAGAAAATTGTTATATGTGTGAGTTATCAAGAAAAACAATACAAAAACGTCGCCATATTGTACAATTTTGCGTAAACTTTTGCCAAATTTACAAGAAATAAAGTTTTTTTCTTTCATTATTTTTGATTTTTTTGCTGTTGTGGAATGCGGAGACAAATGAATAAAAAATACTAAAGCTTCAAATGCTTTCTCAACCAAAACTATTGTCCAGACCATGAAGCGGAATTCATGAGTAAATCTTATTAGAAATAATAACCTGGGTTGAAATTGTATTGCTATTCAGAAATGTTCCATTGTAATTGCATTGTTTTGACATAACTAAAGGATGTATCAGCACAAATTTAAAAGTTTACTCTGTTCTAACTATGTTCAAAATTTTACCTTTATTTATGAAAAAACATTGAAGTGAAAGTTTTTGTTATTTTTTCATTTGATTTTGTTTGAATCATAATTAACCTAATTTTTACATCTTTTATAATGGAGTTTTAAAACTTAGAGTTTTTTTTAGAAAATCTCAGAATTACAATCCTTCTGATGTAAAATACTAGTAGATAAGTATTTTTTTAAACAAGAATTGTATGATAGGCATTTTTGTCAAACTGGCAAAAAACAGTTATGATACATCAAATTAATTTACATTCATGTTTCATAGATTAATCAGAAAAATCACATCCATGTTTCAGCAATAATTCATGGATGAAATATCAATTTATTTGCATCTATGTTTCATGGATGAATCATAGAACTGACATTCATGTTTCAGATTGATTCACCGATGAAACATTAAAGTCATTTGCATCCATGTTTCATAGATCAAACGTGGATGAACATCGTTAAAGTGGCACTGCAACTTGAATGATACATGGATGCAACAAAGTGAAAGATTTGTGTTAAATTTCTGAATTTTAATGCAACTTCAACCTGGGAAACGATTCGACCAAAAACTGCGGGTCACGCTTCAATTTAAGTCAACTTGACGCGACATTTGCAAGTTGTAGGTTTTTTAATCTGCAGTTTATTAAGTGATTATTAGTTTGTCTGCTGAACCCCACAACTTATAGTTACTTGTTTGAATCCAATGTGTTATCTGCGCTGGTTTTGTTTCTGGCTTGCCCTCAGCCAAGCTTTTTTTGTTCAAACCAGAACTGGCTTTTAATTCTTTACTCATTGGAGGATCGAGTTTTTACAATCTTTCTGCAGATTCCACTGACATATTGCGGATTCCAGTAGCAAGTCGCAAAATCCACTTACATCAGTAATTTACGCTTGATGCAGATTCCACGACAAAAAATATGTTTCAAAAGTCACTTTTACTAAAAAACTTGTTCTGAATTACAGCCTGCATCTAAGAGAACCGGAAATAAATAACAAAGTGGAGTTTTGTGTTCCAAGATGTTATCAACATAGTCGATTTCCATGTTGCTCTCAGAAAACAAAATGGAATAAAAAATTGATTATGATCTATTGTTTTATCAAACTTAAAATAAGTTAAAATCGATTGAAATCAATGGACTTTTTTGTTTCAGTTTTGCATCGTGCAAAACTTTGCATTAAATTATTCTGCTTTTATCAAATGAGTAATGCAGAAATTTTGCAAAGCAAGTGTACGGCCTACTCGAACTCTAAGCTTTCTCAAACTGTAAAACGATTCCGCTCACCTCCCCCATCCCAACAGTTGTCCCTCTCCCTACACCTGAAACACCCCCCCCCCCCCGAAATGTCCTCCCACCTGAACTAATTTAAATCGTACTTGAATTAATTTAAACCGCACCTGAACTAATTTAAATTGTACCGAAATGTCCCCCCACCTGAATTAATTTAAATCGTAGAAAAAAAACTTTGTGCGTTGAATTTCGATAAAACTGAAAATTTGATTTTAATGGAGTTTCATTGTCTTTATCTACAAATGTGAAAAGTATTCTTTTATACTTGATTTGCAATAGATTTTAATGGTTGATTAATTTATAGCAATATATTCCTTTTAATAGAATTTTTTGTCTCTTATAGACACTAACAATAAAACTCAAGTTTAACCGATTTCTATCCATGGAACTCCATTGGGGGAGAACACGTCGGAAAATCGAGTTTTTGTTTTAACTTCAACTGTTTACCGGCTTGTCTCCGGATTCTTCACACTAAAACGCACAGTTCTGAGCGTGCAAAGGCAAGGTTTGGCCTCGTACTGAAATTCAACAGCTGTTTCGACTTACGGAAGATAGATACAGGATTGAAAAAAAATGACTACACGATTATTTTGTACAAGCAAGTCATGGCTTGTTTATAGTACTGTCAAAATAGAAAACAATAATACTGTGTAGGAGAAAATGACATTGCGAAGGGTTTTTCTCACTTTTTTGACATTTATTTTGACGAAGGAGGTGCTAATCACCCAATCTTGATTGTTTTAGCGCATAATTTTTGGGGTATGCAAAACACTTTAAGCCCTAGTTGCTTCTAACGTTGTGGTCGTCGGAGCAAAAGAAATACTTTACTAGTAGTAGTGATATAAGGCTTAGTTACCCTTGAGGGGAATTTATAAAAGAATAAAAAGAAAGAAAAGATGATAGAAAACTTAAATGAAAACTTGACTTTTTACACCACCAAAATGATATAATTGAAACACAGCTCAGTATTTGAGAAGCCTTTTAGACAATTTTTTCTTTAGAAAGTATTTATAGGCAAATAGGAGCCAGAGGTAGTGTTTGTTCGAAAAATATGTACTCATTTTCTGCATCATGTCCAGTAACGGTTTTATGGGGAGTAGGCGGACGCTTCCCTTCTGGGATTCGACACGCCTTGACGACCGAAAAGTTTTTGCCTTTGGTGTTATTTCAGTTCATAAGTTTTTTGTCCGACCGACTCCTAACTTCTTGCAAATATATTTTAATTTCGGGGAAGAGCGTATGGGGGGGGGATACGTGTTGTTTTTCAAAAACTCGCCTGTGAACAAAAAAAAAATGGTTTTTTTAGTGATATTTAGTGATTTGTGAGATCTCGGAAAATTTTTTGGTCCACCCAGCAACCGACAAAAAGTTTGATCAAACTTTTGAACAAATTTTGAAAGTCATCGCCTTCCTCGAAATAATCCTAGATTCGCCCTGATCATACTTGAGACAATTGCTGGTAAAGAATATTGCACGTCGATCAGTGCACGTCTACAGAACGGAAGCTGAACATACAAACAATTTTTGATGTCAAAAATTGCAGGCACATTGGAATGCGTTTTGGCCTCATATGACAAAACTTTACTTTTATGACGTTTTTATGCGGTACCCGAATCTGCATAAAAACACGCCCAGACCCTTATTTTTTCACATTCAGTGAGATTAATGGGAATAACGAGATTTCATCATGTGCACATACTCTCTGTCACTCAATGCCCTTTGAAATCATTCAAACTGAATGATTTCATTGCTTAATTCAATCTCATGCGTTATGAAATCTGATTGATTGGCCTTTTTTGCACTTTCAGGCCTTTGCTCATGATAGAATTCCCCGAAAAAACGCTTGCGACTATGTTTTTAAACAAAACTATGGATGTAGGTTTGTTTTTTTCGAGACAAATAAAATAAACCAATACAAGGTCACCCCTTCCTCGAGAAAATCCTAGATCTGCAAAGGAAGGGGGTGATTGTTGGGCCGAGGAAAGGGGTTATTGCCCAACAACTACTACACTTCCTCGGCGTATCTAGGATTTTCTCGAGGAAATGGGTGATTCTCTATCGGCTTACCTTAATTATCTCGAATGGGATAAAGGGGTTTCTCGAGCAAGGGTTTTTTTAATCTTTTTTTAAGGTTTTTTCAAACTTTTTTTGTTGAGCAATTTGATCTTAAGCGGATATATCTTAAGTTTTGCCTCAATTCAACTGGAATTCATGAGTGGATTATAAATTATGTATTTTTCATTATTCCTTTTAAAAGCGTATTCTATCTGCAGTTCAACCCTTTCTCGAAATCTTTTTCAAAAAAAATTCAATTAGATTTTCAAAAAAAAAATTCAATTTAATTTAAAAAAAACGTTACTGGCGCAAAATATGTCACTATTCTCGTTGCTTTGGGCGTGAGGCAAGTGATTTAATTCATTGTATTGAAGTTTTAAAGTTTTCTGAAAAATTACATTTTATAATAAACTCTTGCATAAGTTTTGCTCAATTATGCTAAAAGTATCTGCAACTGTAAAAAAAAATATCTGCGGGTTGTTTTTGTTCTGTTTTTCGCAATATCACGACTAGTCAACTCTAATCACATTAAAGTGACTCTCTATGTTTTGTTTTAAAAATGCTTTTAGAGGGCAGCTTAAATATGAGCTGCCATCGTGTTGTGGAGTTGTCCAGTAAGATTCTACTTTAGTCAAAAGAAGACTTTCATCAAAATAAAGTGGTCGAATTTTTCGTTGGTAAATGAAATTAAGTTTGAAAACTACGATTCAGAAAATAGAGTTCGATTGCAACTGTAACACAAAATATAGACTAAACGGTCCCAATTCAAGTCCAAGGATGTTAGCAGAAAGCAGAATATTAAGGCAATTAGAAATATGCAAAAGTTTCTTGGGCTTAGTACTGATAAGCGATTAATCAAACTAGAGATTCGTCTTGTTTTGTTGACCCAGCACTGTCTAAATTTCGCTTTTTCCTTTCTTTCAAGGGCAGTTTGGAAGACTGGGGCGAAATTGATGAGTCTAACTGTGCCAATTCCACCACATCACTGTCATCATCGCCAATTTCTATGTCAATTCTGACGTCGTTGTGGTGGGGAGGAGACTCCTGGTCTTTATCGACAGCAACCATTGCGAGATCGTTGGCGTCCCGTGACTCCTCCTGATAATTGAAGGCGTCTCGGACACCTGAATCCAAATGGTTCCCACTGCCGCTAGCACCCAAGTCGACCTCTTGCCCGCACTTCTCGGGGTCTTGATCGGCGGGGTCCAGATCCCGTTTGGACATCTCCTTGTTGGCGCGTTTGTCGAAGTACGGAGTATCCGGAGGCGTGGACTCCTCGAACAGTTTGAACTTCTCGGCATCTTCAGCATCGTGTTCTCGATGATAGAAGTAGTTGAAGTTCGATACTATCACTGGCACAGGAAGTGCAATAGTTAAGACTCCTGCAATGGCACAGAGCGAACCCACAATCTTGCCCGGAAACGATCTGGGTAAGATATCACCGTAGCCTACAGTAGTCATGGTAACGACAGCCCACCAGAAAGCGTCCGGAATTGATTTGAAATCAGTGTTCAAGTTGTCAGGATCTCCGTTGTCCTCGGCGAAAAATACAGCACTCGAAAACAAAATTACGCCAATGCCCAAAAAGAAAATAAGCAATCCCAGTTCTCTAAGACTGGCTTTGAGGGTCTTGCCTAAAATCTGCAGACCTTTAGAGTGCCTGGATAATTTGAAAATCCGAAACACCCGAACTAGTCTGATCACTCGGAGAATAGCCAAAGACATTGCCTTCGATTCTCCGGAATCAGCATTGTCTTCTTGTTGAAAAACAACTGTCCCTATTTGTATAAAATAAGGCAAAATTGCGAGAAGATCGAAAGCGTTCATCAAGTTTTTGGCGAAGTGAAATTTACTGGGACTTGAAACTGCGCGGCAAGAGAGCTCTAGTGAGAACCAAATCACACAGAGCGTCTCAATCACAAAAAAAGGGTTTTCAAGAGAAGTGTCCTTCTCGAATCTCTGGAACTGAGGTAGTGTTTCGGTACAAAACGTAACGATTGATAGAAGAATAATAGTCACTGATAAAATTGCTACTATTCTAGCCGCCCTGGAGCTCTCTGGAAACTCAAAGAGCAGCCACATAAGTCGAAGAGTTGGATGCTTTGGCAAAGGGCGTTCCGGCTCTTTGACGTAACCTTCATCTTCGATAAACTTTTGGATGACTTTTCGTTCAATTTCGTAGAATTTCAACTCCTCGATAAATATTTCAACGGGAAGGTTTGCAGGTTTGCGCAGTCTGCCGTTGCTTTGGTAGTAGTATATCACTGCTTCGAAGGCAGCGCGGTTTCGGTCGAAGAAAAATTCATTTCGGCAGTGATCGAAGTACTTCAGTCGTTTTGTCGGGTCACCCAGGAGAGAGTTCGGAAACCTTTCTAATGTTTTAAGCCTTGTCTCGAACTTTAACCCGCTGATATTTATTACTGCACGGTCAAGTGAGTCCCTGGAAACCAACGAACAAGGTCCAGAGTTTATTTTTGGCAGTTTTAACGAGTCTTTGTTGAGGAAATTGGGGTTAGGTGAAGATGAGCTAGTTCTAGAGGAGTTTGATAAGTTTAATTTTTCAGGTGCAGGCTTTGTTCTCGGCTTAGACTCAGCAGCAGACATTAAGTTTTCGGGTGAGTTGTCATCAAGAGAAGGCTCTCTTATCACTAACGGGGCTGATAGACGATGATCCGAGTCGTGACGACGAGGGTAGTGTCGTTTCTCGCCGAAGAAGTGTCGTGTGTGATCGGATCGTGAGGGGCTGAACAAATCCGAGAAGTGGGGGGTGTCTCGTCGGCACGCGCAGTAATGGTCGCTGTATGGAGCTATGTTGGCCACGTGGTGGTTGTGGTTGTGGTCCTCGGAGGCGGAGGCGGCGCCCGAGTGCCCAAAGGGGCTGGGGGAGTTCGAGTGAAACGACGCAGGAAATATTTTCGAAACTCTCGCTATGTTTTCCTGTTTTTGACAAAATTTCGGCTCAGCATAAGAAGAATTGTGTCGATCGCTTATGTGAAATAACGGAGTCGTTTTTGCAGTTTTATTGTTGCAATCTTCGAAAGTCAAGTCTCGGAAGTCGGGTTTTGTTGAAGTAATAAGCGAATCGCTTCTGCTGTTTTCGTGTTTCCGGCTAGCATCATTAGAAAACAACGAACTATTGTTGCAGATTTGCGGATAACTCAAAACTGGCAAACTTGATGAATGTTTTGACTCTTGGCTGTCATTTGAACTACGTTTGAGATTTGTTTTTGATTGGGAAGGTACATGATTTACGTCATAGTTTCCACGATCTTCCTTGGGCAAATCGCTAACAAAACTCTGTAAATTCCGGGTCAACAGATTATTTGCTGGTCTGTAATTAATAGCACCTGCAACTTCATGTTTAATTTCACTCTCGTTGAGTTTCGGCTGTAGAAAATGTTGGGTTGAATTTGGACAGTTGTGGCTGAAGCTAGCTGTGGCCTCCGCTTTCTGCGGGTATTTGCGGCGGCCCGGTAATCCACTGAACTGTAGTTTGCACCCCTCAAAGCAAAAGTTTTGATCTACCCGGACTAAATTCGGATCCAATGGGGAATCGCTTAAGTCTGCTGACGTCAGCAAGCTAGAACTACTTTCTTTCCCGCGGCAAAAATGACAAAATTGTGAACAGGTTTGCCATGCACGTGTCTTTACTGTTTCATGTGTCAATTCTGTGAAATCCTGCCGATCTTTGTTTTCATGTAACTGCTTGATTTGTTCACAGTTAAACTCAGATCGCTGCGTATGCTCCAATTCTGCACTTTCAATCTTCACAGGGACAGAATTGGGACAATTTGTTCCATTAGCCAATTCCCCACTTACCAACCTAGCTCCTTGTTTCTTCAGCCCCATTCCCCCATGAACCTTCCCCTCAACTCCTGCATGTTTCTCTGGATTCCTGTTTGTGACGTAAGCCGTGTTCGAACAGCCCGCGCAGTTTCCCTTAAATTCATTCCTCGAATCATTCTTGGATCCGTGTGAAGAAAACTTGCTGCAATCTGATTGGTCGATGCCGGCACTGACTGTCGGATAGCTGAAGGCGCCTTCAGATCGCGTAGGTGTAGGAGGGACGCGTTCAGCCTCTTGGTTAGAACTGTTCCTGGTTGAACCAGGGTAGTTATAACAAATCCGCTCGTTATTTTTGCTGGCATTTATAGCCAAAATTTGCCGCACAGTTTGGAGACAGAACTGGTCGTGAAAATAACAGAAATGTCCTGCACAGCAATGTGTTTGAAAGTGTTGGTTATGACCAGTTAAGAGCTTATCTCTTTCCAGCTCTGTTCTTCCTTTATACTTTTCCGGACTCTGACTTCCATTTTTAACCCCCAGTTTGGAACTATGTCCGGTTGGACTTCTCTTGCTCCGCGCACCGCTGGAATTACCAGCGAAGCTCTTGTAATCCGAATGTTTGGAAGCAAGCCGTTCGTTTTGAAACAACCTCCTATCGCTTTCATCCGTTTCACTAACTCTGTGATGTTTATGATCGCTGGGGCTACTAACTTTGCTCTGCAGTTCATTCTCGACCCCTGATTTATGGCTTTCTTGCTGTGGACTTTGGCTATTATTACCACCACGTAACATCGAATTTCTCACACAATCTGTACTAGATTTTCTAACCCGATGCTTTTCATAGCCGGCCGAATCCTTTTCTAAAACCACTAAAACTGCAGAATTGCTTAATTTACGTTCATTTTTCTGGTCGACGTTTTCCGTTATTCCAACGGGGTTGAAGTGGTTTCGAATGTGACGTTTTTCGGCTAAGTGGTCTTGCGTGTGATGTTTTTCAGTGATGGGGATTTCAGGGCTGCTTGACAACTTTGGTCTAGTCGAAATAGGTCCCCCCACTCTATTTTGGACTGGTTCGCGAGTGGCTGAGAGTGATTGCCTTCTTCCTTTGCTATGGTTTTGCTCAGCCGCTGAAATAAACAAAAAACAAAACAATTTAGCTTTGAATGAAAGACCAAAAAATGTATTGGCCGAAAAAGCAAAAGATTAAATATGGTACACAAACCCTTCCAGGCAATAACTCCGGCGAAAGATCTAAAGTGTGATCTTTTCCTGGTCCGTTTAATGTAAGGCGGCATGGCAAAGTAACAGCCAAGAAAGAAATTTAATCTAGTTTGAAAACTCGAACTGATCTAGTTTTCCTAGGCAAGCGCTTTTTTAAATAATGGGAGTTTTTTTAACTGTAGTTCCGTAATACATTTATTTTAACTAAACAACATTTTGTACTAGTGTTACAATTCAAAATGAATGATTCTAATGTAATGAAAAAAAAACATTTTTTTATTTTAAATGGTCACCACGTGACTATGAAGCCAAGTGTGAAAAATCGTTTGATCCAATTTGTCTCATTTCCATCGGTCATCGATTGACAGAAAATGAGATAAATCAATGAAAAAAAAAACAGTTCAAGGAACCACACTACAAATTATTATTTGACAAGTGATGTTCAAAAAAACTTAAAAGAGTTAAAAATTAAGTCTTTCATTTTCCACTTATTGTTTGAAATCATCGCATGTCCGATATTAACAAATAGGTGAAGCAAAGACGTTAAAAACATATAAAACAGGATGAAGTGTGTTTAGTGTAGCTGCGAATGTTCCGATCACATACTCTTGGTATTTATAGTTCCGAGTTCACACGCGTGGCAGACAAGAACAACGGCCTTCTGTTGATTTTTTTTGCAAAATCAGGTACCTCAAAGAAAGCTGGAAGGTCCGATGTTCGAAGCCTACCAATACATGCGCTCGTTATTTGCGGGTCAGGCAACATTTCACAGCCCAGAAAAATGACCAAAAAACGCATCTAAATCTTAAAATCAGTGCATTTAATTGTCGTTCTTCGTCAATAGCCAAAAAGCTCTTATGTTGATTATTTCCCCTGTGGGTATATCGTCCTAACTTGACCTAAAAGGGATCGATTGTGGTTTCATAAGGAAGCTGTTTTCGTCTTCTGGATTAAAATTCGAAGAAAAAGTTCGAAAAAGTTATCTCCGGAAAACTAGTCTGTCTTTTTAACAAAAAGCGATGAGATATTGATATCCGTTGGTTTATATGCGCACGAAATTCCTGAAATAAACTCCAATTCGCAAAACAGACAATTAGCCGGAGCTTTTCACCGAGCAGTTTCCAGTTGCGACTAAAAAACTAGTAGTCTTAACTGCATAGAAAAACTTTTTTTCTGCTGCGAACAGCATCCATAGAAATGAAAGTCTTTTTTTTATACAGGCAGGGGCGGATCTAGGATTTTCTCGAGGAAAGGGGGGGGGGGGGTTCAAAAAATTTTCGAAAGTTTTGACGACCTTTTTTTAGGTCGACAAAGTTAATTTTCCGAGCTGTCCTAAAGAACTAAAAAGAAGCTGTTTTGAAATTTTTGAAAAAAGAGGTCAAAAAAAACCGTTTTTGGGCATTTTTTGAAAAATTTTGACAAAAAAATTCGCGTTTCTTTAGCGCTCTCCTCCCCCCCCCCCCCCCCCCTCACAATTAGTATGTATTGGCGCCATAGGCGCCTTTACAAAAGCTTTAGGGCCCATCTCCAAAAATGGATATCTCAAAATAGTACAAAGGGGGGAGTCGGCAGGGGGTCGAGTCCCTGAAGAGAAGGTGTCCGCCCCCCCCCCCCTAAATCCGCCCTGGTTCTGACTGATTTTAAAAATGTTTGATGCAGTTTTTGGCCATGCTGATATTGATTTTTTTAAAAATGCTGATTAGTATTGATGCTGTCAAAAATGTTGTTAGTATTGAAATTTCCATTATTCCGATTAAATTATTTTCTTATCCTACACCACGACAATTTAACGTTTATTAATAAAACTTTAACCTCAGTTGAAATGACCTGTAAGCTCAATGAAAATGCTGCCTATGCATGAACTAATTATCACCAAATAAGCAAGTTGGCAAACTTCAAACCCTAAGGTTTTTTGCAAAAGATAGTCACAAGTAAAATATTTGTATAATTTTGAGCTCATGGCATCAATATTTTTAGACAGAAAAAAAACTTTCAAAAAACTTATCGAAAAAATTCCGAAGTTATCCAGGAGAGCAAAAAATACTCAAGTTCAACTGTTCTGTCACTTTCCATAGAAGTCGGAACAATATGTTGTTAGAATAAGTGCAATGAAATGTGCATTGGATCAATTGTAGAACAAAAAGTTTAAAAATCACAAACAAAAGGGTGAGTAAAAGCCACATAGCACAACATTCAACATGGTATTGATGCTGTCAAAAATGCTATTATTTTAAACTTTAAGCCTTTGATTGCATTATAAACGAGTTTGTTAGCGTTGAGACAAAAACAGCTAAAATTATTATAGCTGCTTAAAGCTATGACTCTGTAATTTTTTCGGCCATTTTGCGCCCAACTATAATTTGGAGACATAGATTCTTTACTGTTTGGATGCGTTTTGTCTGATGGAAGGGGTGAACTGATTTTAGATTTTACTTACATCGAGAAAAGTGTTTTAATCTCTGCTTTCTCTACCAAAATCTGGAAAAATTGGTTGCTTGAAAACTGACACAAGCAAAAACTTACATTTAATTGCTTAGTCTCCTCAAGTATTTGGTTGAACCACAAAAAACTGGTTTTTTATGATTGCAAATAGTTTTAATGAAGCAAATAGTTTATGATTGCAAATAGTTTTCCCCAACTTCGGCGCCAGTTTTTTAGTAGATTCTTTTCGATAAAATAAAATCTAAATTCGGGCCAGATGATTTGGTGTGATTTTTGATGAAACCCTTAATGTTGTCAAAACCAACTAAGAAATTATTCTGCAACACTGAATTTAGACCTCAACATAGCCTACAACACACCAGCTGATTAAAGAGTGGGGGGGGGGAGACGCCCATCCCCCCTTCCCCCAGAATTCGAATCCCTGCCGACCCAAAGGGTCCCCCTTTGTACTATTTTGAGACATCCTTTTTTTGGGTGACAGACCTTGAAATTTTTTAAAGGCGCCTTTGGCACCAATATATACTAATTTTGAGTGGGGAGCGAGCGAGAAAAAATGCCTAAAAACGCCTTTCTTGGCCGTTTTTTCAAAATTTTGCTTGCGGCGCAAAAACTTTGGTCGAAATGGGGTCTTTATAGTGATATAAAGTTCAGAAAATCAAGAAAAGAAGGTCGACAAAAATGTTGAAATTTTTTGAAAACCCGCCCCCCCCCCCCCCCCCTCGAGAAAATCCTAGATCCCGCCACAGCATCACATGGCAAAAACAGTGATAAAATTTGAAATAGTTTTCACCCAAAGAAAAATTTTGTCACATTGCTAATTAATTTGGGTAAAACACAATCAACTCTTTGGAGCTAGACGTTTGCTGTACGAATACGCATTCTAAGTGACTGTATATGATAACCTAAGCTCCGTTGATGTATCTACAACGAAGAAAAGTTGGTTCTTTCAGCTTGTTTGGGCGCATTGTGTTCATAATCATAAAATTGGGTCTTGTTACTTATTCCTCCCAAAAACCAAAACTTCAGCAGCTTGATTTAAAACTACTTTGCTTCAATCTGATTGGCTAGAATTAGGCATTAAATTTTCAGCACCATCTGAAAAAGTTTCTCTAATTTTAGGTTTCACGAATTTGCCAAAAACATAGAATGCTTGTAAACTTTTCATATTTACCTCAAATAAGCTTTAAATTTTACCCAGATCAGAAGAAAACACAAAACATAGCTACGGGAACAAAAGTGATCACCCTTAGACCTTCTCAAAAATCGGCCCTGGTAGAAATTGGCGAAAGTGATCGTATTTGCATTATCCAAACCAATCAGTGCAATAGATTTAGGGGGAAACTGTACGGTTGATCCAACCTGTCTCTTTTTCAAAATTTTTTCATACTCTTCATAGTTATTTGGAAAAGCTCGGAAAATGTTCATAATCTTCATAGTTATTTGGGAAACCTCGGAATCTTTTTGTTAATTCCGCCCAAGTTTCTTATCTTAATTTTGCGATTTTGTAATATTTAATGTATAAATGCTGAGAACACCATACTGATAGCACTGGTTAATTTTGTTAATACAAATGCGATCACTTTATTCGTAAGCCGACTTCTAACAAGGCCGAGTTTTGAGCAGATACGAAGTTGGTCATTTTTTCCCCTGGAGCTGTTTTCTGTGTTTCTTCTAATCTGGGTATTTTTCTGGAGCGTATTTGAAAAATTTATGAGTAGTTTACCAAAAAATTTTCATTTTAGGCCAAGTCGGTTTATTTATATTTCGACTAAAATTGTAAACAAAACATTTTGAGATGGTGCTGAAATCTGATTCGTCAAACTCAGCCAATCAGATTGAAGCAAAATAGCTACAGTTCAGCATGTTGCAAACTTTGACTTGGGCGGAATAAGTAAAAAGTCCCAAAGGTCGACAAAGTTTTCAAAATTTTTTAAAAATCCGCCCCACGCCTTCGAGAAAACCCTAGATTCGCCCCTGTGTATAATAATGATCCCTAGAATTTTATCACACCACCTTAACAGACAGTCAAAAACTACAATAAATTGTTACCGTTTTAGTATATCAACTCATTGTTGACACTGAATTATTGTTTGCTTAATTCGTAAAAATTTTTAACAGAAAAGAATTGAATAATTTTAAATGTCAGCGTAGTGAAGCAATATTGAATTCAGCAGTCTGAAATTGTTTGATTTGCAAATGATAAAAATTTGCAAAATGCAAGCTGCTGTGCTTGAAACCAAACAGAAGCAAGCCAAATTTAATTTGAAATAAGACCGCGCCCTTTCTCAGTTCAAAGAAGTCTGCTGCCCAATGGTCTCCTATGCACTAACGCCAGAAGTAAATTTAGATAAAATGAACGTAACCCCCCCATCCCACCGCACCTCGTCGACTTTCAGCTCAAATAGTACTAATCGGGCATACTTTGCTGTATACATTTTTGACCGTTCAGTTTTTATTTTTTTTC